GTCCCAGCATTTCCCAGCGAATCGGATCGCCTTGGCGGCCACGCTTCTGCCTTCCTGCCCTCTCGTACAGATCGGCCGCTTTCATGAGACCCTTCATGCAGTGAATAACCCACAGCCCGCCTTTGAATCAGCATATTCATGTGGAAATTCCATCTAGACCCGATGAGCTCCAGAAAGCCCAACTGCGAACCATGAACAGTGCAGGACAGGCAGACAGACAGACAGATATATATATATAATTAATAAACACATTAATAGACAATAATAAATTATAAACACCAATAAACAGTAACAATGAAAAGAATGTCCAGGAAATTATAGCAGGGACATCTGTTGTAACATCTCAGAAATGAATAATATTACTGAGGGCTGCTATTGGCCAGTTAAAGGGATCCCACAGGGGATTGGATGGAGGTGGGAGAGCATCCAACCGGGGCTTCATATGTGGATTCTGCAGGCGTATTAGGGAAGGTGACATCATCCAGATGTATCCCTGTCCCAGTCTTCCTTCGCCCCCCCCCCCCCCCCACTTGGCAAGACTCATTGGTACAATTAGAAGCGTAAATCAAAGCATTTCGACTTAACGAACCAGCAAGATGTGCTTAGGTTCAGCCTGCGTTCGGTTTACATCACATCTGTGCACTGAATCTATATACACGCATCTAGTTTTCAGTCATTTTGTGGTTATTTCACCAGTGTAATGAAATATGCATTATCCTTGACAAGCTCTATTAACTGCCCAAAACACCAACTGCAGAACTTTCCCAAGAACTGAAACAATTATAACAATAATTAAATATATGCTCAGTTACATGATTTATGGGTTGGTTTTGCTATATTTAATAAAATACCTAAAATTCACTCTTAGGTAAGAATAACAAACTTTTTACTCTTTCCTTCTTTTCTCCTTGTAGATGCTGGTTTTTGGGATAGATTGATACCCGTTTTACCAGCACATGGGGGCCACAGTTCCCTATATATTGTGCCTTTTGCACGTATTTAACCGGGATGCTTTACAGACAGGAAGTATCACTTTTATGACGCCAGAGACAGAGATTTAGAGGAAATCTAAAAAGTGCCACAAAACAGATAGATCCGCACGTTTGTTGCGGTCTCCTTCGGCTGAGTCGTGCCTCTTCCCACTGGGTTTATTTCTGAATAATGGCTCAGTGCCTCAGGAAAAAGACATTATGAGTTATGGACACACATCTAGAATTGCTGGTCTTGTCATCTCAACGTTTAAATGAGACTTTTCTATTTTCTCAGTAATACTATTCTCAGAAAGCTTTAAAGTTTACACAGGGTAAAGTTTACTTTGAAAATTGAGCTTGACTTTGTTCAGCTCTGAGGCAGAGACCCAGGGGTGCTGGGGACATTGAAGGAGGTCGGGTTCCATCTGTGGATGATGGGTGTTAGGGCGAGACCTTCGGGGAGTGCAGCCTGTCCTCTGTAGACTCGGGTTCCAGACCCGTGACGTTGCTGTCCCTCCATGGGTACCAGGCCCCATCACCTTGGGTTGCGGCCCCAGCGGTCGCTCTCTCTCCGGTGCACCAATGGGTGAGTTTAACGTCCATTAGTGGCTTAAATAGGGCAACGATGCATGGCAGCTCCAGCCTGGGGGGGACAGGGGGCACACAGTCAGCTGATATCCATTCAAACCAGATGCATAGGCAACTCGCAAAGGTGAATCGGCAGCAGCTGGTCAAAGGAAGCAAGATTTTATGGGAGACTCAGGCAAGGTAAAGCACCCCCCCNCCCAGAGTAGAAAGGGTGAGAATTCTGCCATGTTTGGACATCTGACATCCAGCTGAGATCCTGCATCTGATCCTGACACATGGTCTAATGAGAGATCGCTGTTTATCATTGGGTCGGCTGGAAATATATGTTGTAAATAAACTTTGATCAGCTGGCTGGAGTGAGATTTTCAATTTGAGACAAGCCTGCACACACATTTACATGAATGTAACAGGTTTATTACCCTGTAAATAGTCTGTAGGGTTTGCAAACGACCCCAACACTTTTGATGCCACTAATTTTGGGTTTGTAATAGAACAATATAGATTTGCCATAAGATATCTTGCGTGAGAGTGTGAAAGTGTGAGTGTCACGCCAGATGAGTGAGAGCTGGCAGCCCTGATGTACACCTTTCGCACTAACACTCCCAACCCCAAATGTTCTAAAGAAGCTTTTATTTTGGTTTAATATTCTCCTCGGAGACACAGCAGGTACTCGATACGCTGTTACCCACCCAGGTTCTCCCGGAGAACATGATTAACAGCACTCATTCACGCCAGCCGGCTGACGGCGATGATTTCACTTCTAATCTATTTCCTTCTTAATTCTCTGTGCTTCTCGGTCATATTTCCCCTTTTCCCGGTGCCCATGTTGACAGCCTGTCCAATCTGAGCGAGCCGAATTTCAAGCCTGGCAAGAAATTAGAAAAGCAGCCCAAGCTGACAGATTTCCTGGGGTCGTTCGTCTTGGAAATGGCTGCCAATGGCACACGGAGCTCAGAGTGTGTTTATGGAGGCACCCATCCGGGGTCAAAGGTCGTGACCCAGGACTCTCTCTCTCCCATCAAAATATTAAATTTGCATGAACTGCGAGGGTGCTGTGAAACACTGCTTTATAAATTCCAGTGTGCCGTCAGCGCCGTTCTCCCGTTCCGTCAGTGCGCGGCCTGTCGGTGATAAATGGTAGAATCATAAAGTTCAGATAACTAATTACTCGGAGCGTTTTTTGGTGCAGAGTTAATTAAGTGGTAAATTGCATGTAGGGTGGGATGTGGGGTCGGCCCTTGAGGATGATCGAGTGTGAGAGGTCCGTGCGGTGATGGACTGGCGGGGTCGGGTCGGACTCCAGCGAGAGCCATGCGCCGTGACCTCGGCCTCCTCCCAAGCTTTGTGAGACGATGTTCTCTTCACCTCCAGTGCCACCACCCCACAGGCCCAAAATCCACGACGTGAAAATTGCCCGGTTCGCCAAATTGCCATCACTACCCCGGCTCCACATGAGTTCCTCAAACAGCCAGTTGTACACTTCCTAACAAGTTTGTATGTTAACGTTTCCTTTTGTTTGCTTTTTAAAGACTTCCAAGGCCTAATTGAATCTTCTTTTTGACTAATAAAAACCATTGCAGCCTCCCAGCAGCAACACACTAAGCTGGCAATTATGGGCTGTAATTACGTGAGTATGTCTCTAATGTAAACAGCGTGATTATTACTCTTGTTATGTGTGTGTCATTTTCACCTCTTGATTTGAGTGCGAATGACTCAGCAAAGATTCATAAAAGCACGAGGTTGTCGGGACGTCATTACCCCGGTAAACGGGGGAGATCGTCTTCCAGGGCTGCCAACTCTCACGCATCTGTCCTGACACTCGCGCGTTCAGACTCTCACGCTCACGCAAGAAATGTTACGGCAACTGTATATTATTCCATCCTAAACCTATAATTAGCTACATCAACAGCATTGGGGTCGTTTGCAAAACCTACAAACTGTTTATAAGGTAATGACACTCTTACATACATGTAAATGTATGCGCAGACTTGTCAAATAGAAAATTTCACACCAGCCAGTTGAGCAAAGTTGCCAACCCTGACCTTCTAACTAACCTGGGCAACCAAGCAGGACTTACAGAGACTGAATGTAACAACACACCCATGGGGAACAAGGATCCCCTGCCTCAGTGTTCTCCATCCGCAGAACCGCAGATCCGCATCAGAGAGGCCCCATCACACTACAGATATCCCCGAAGTTGTATGGTTCTGTACTGCTTCACAATGACAGCCATTTGTATTTCTCTTTATTTTTGTCCTTGTCACCTCCGTCCCCAGCTGTACTTCACTGTACCAAAGCTGTGTTCGCTACCATTTTTTCCCCCATCCTTACCGTACATTTATGCTGTTTGTTAAGGACGTTAAGCTGATGAATAGTGTTTATAAATCTGTTATGAATGTTCTATGTACATACCAGTACTGTCAGCTATTATTATGGAAAGATTAATTAATTCACTGGCTTAACATGTGGCGGTTTTTACCGTTGGCGCTCTGTTTGTTGGCGTGTTCGGAAAGAGCCTCCCGTCAGCGGAATCGAGGTAACGCGGGTCACAGACGTCAAAACAGGCTGTCAGCGGAGCAGATTCAGCTGTGATTCTGGGGAACGCCGGTGTGGGGGAAGAGGGGGAGCTGAGGCAGGAGCAGAGCACAGAGTACAGAGTGTTGAAAGATGGGTTTTATTTTAAAACAGGACGGGGGATGAGCCCAGTGTGGCGATGGCCACAGTCATATTGCGGCGCTGCTCTGTAAAACACGGGGTCTCTGACAGGGGGGGGGGGGGGGGCGTCAAGGAGAAAGAGAGAATGAGAAGCCCGCCATTCGTCATTTAATATCACTGTACAATTTACAGACACCCTTAGGGGTGAGGTCTGTGTTTTGATGATCTCTGGGTGAGGTCTGTGTTTTGATGATCTCTGAGTAACGTGTAACAGAATGCATATTTTAGGGATCTGATTCTCGAGTTTATGATCGGGAATTATTACCGATTTTTTGTGCTATTTGGTAAAGGGGACATGTGCGTCACGTTTCTGCGTTTCATATACTCAGCGTCAGGCTGCCATGACGACAGTATCCGTAGCAGTTGACTTGGGCGGCATGGTTACGAAACCGCCAGACAAACTCCCGCTGTTATCACGTCACGATAGCGGGTTGCGGCATTATAAGTGTTAGCATAGCGTTAGCATGTTACCCAGAACGATCACCTCACAATCTGTTGTATTTACATATTTCTGTAAACATTTATATACACAGGAATTGTGCAATATAAATACTACTGAGCATTTTTGGAGTTTTAAACAAATTCATGGGAAAAAGAAAAAATTAAATTGCCAAACAAGATGATGTTTATGGAATCCATCATACTGACTGAAAACAGGGAGCGTCTGCCAACTGCAGAGGAGGCGCTGAAAGTGTGGCTCCTTCAGGTCCACCTCAGGCTTCAAGATTCAAGATGCAAGATCTTTATTGGTCGTATGCAACAGTGCCGGGCGAAACAGAACACTGCAAAACCAGACAGTATGCTGATAAAGTGCCAGATAAAGTGCAATAACAGCTCCTCTTCCACCGAGGATTGCCGGTCAGATAATAAATTTTCAGGATGAGTGCCATTTTATTAACCTTCATAGTAAGTTCAGGCGGTCATATATCAATTAAAGTATGATGGTAATTTACCTGCCGAATGATTTCTTAAGTGGACTTTAAAGCAAGCAGAGTAAGGCAATTATTCAGTATTATAATGAAGATATTGATAATGTCAGGAGTCCCTCCGGTCTGTAGGGGGCAGTGTCCTCTTAGTGGGACTCTCACATCTACAGTTTACTGTGGATTTTCAGTTTCCTTGGGGCTACATTAACTGAAGGTGTGTCCTCGTTTTGCAGGAAGCCATCTGTTGAGCTCTCAGACCTCAGTTTTGAAGAAGTTCTCATAGGTTCTCCGCCGTGAGTTCACTATGATTCACCTGTCTTTGTCTTTTAAGTTTGATTCCTCTTTTCATCTCTCCTGCATTGCCCTGGTTCCCTTGACCCTCCTGAGTTCCACAGCTACCTCAGTTTGAGTAGCCTCGCTTTGATGTCCATCCAGCCGCCTCCAGCCCCATTCTTCCGCCTCTCTTCTTCTCCCGTCGGTGAACTCGCTTTCCTCACTGTGCCCTCGGCCGATTTCCAGCTTTATATCTTTATCTCTGGGTCTCACTCCACCTCTGCGATGCCGGCTCCTCACGCACTGTGTATCTGCAATGTGACTCAGAGATATTATCAATACAGGAATACACTGTAACATCACATTACTAGGGTATTTTATGTAAGCTTTACAGCAGAATATTTGTAAATGATAAAAGAATATCTTTGAAAGCGAAGGTCTCCATTAATAAGGGGTAATTAAGAGGAAGACCTGAAATGAGTGAGTAATGGAATATGCCGGTTTTCCTCCCACACAATCTGAAAATGGGACGGGACCTCCCCAGGTGAAATGTAAATGGGTAAGTGTGGTCTGTTTCTTGTAATATAGCTCATGACCTGCAGAACCAAAACACGGGCCAAATCCACAGAAGTAGACCGTAGGACAAACGAGCGAGGTAACACCTCTGCCTCAGTGCCATATTTCAGTACTGGTGACCCCACGAGACCTAATCCTGCCTGCCGTAATTCTCAGAGAACACGCGCCTCACAAATTACCCTTGAAAAATGGCTTCCGGAGCGATATTACCATTAGTAGCAAAGTTATGTTTGATGCTTTTATTTATTCATATAGAATTTCCTCCATTGTTTTATGAAGGGCAAATAAATCGTCTTGACCTTCTGGGATTGATGAATTAGTTAGCTCGCCTTTCTGAAGTCACGAGGTGATTCTTCAATGACATTTTGAGGTCAGATGAATCATTGCCTGTAGTTTATAATTTTGCATTACAGTATTAGTCATGAGGAAGGATAACATGTGAGTGAGAAAAATGTAACCTTCCTGCCCAGCTTTGCAACTGCTGGGACAACAAAATTAAAAGGCCATTTGCCATCATTATTTAATCATTTGTTATTCTGAAGAAGGGAGAACGTCATGGAGGCCAAGACCTTGCAGATGCTGTATATATGTTTGTAAACAGCAAATAACATTCTGATAAATATTCTATTTGGTTCCGTAGTTCTTCCAAGGCTGTCCAGGGCTTTCAGGTTTATTCAACTATATATGTGTGTTTTTTTATGCCAAGGGACATTTTATCAAGTGAGTCAGTACGGCAGTTGTTCAAAGGAGCCCTTTTGGCTTCATGAGATAATTCAACCATGTTCCTCATGGGTATCGATTATTAACCAGCTCTTATGTCCCTCTGGCTTTTGTTGTCGTATTACCCACAATCCCCCAGGGCAACAGGTAGCGCCCCGTTTGGCAGACAGCCCACCAACAGTTGCTTTCTCAGGTAACAGTTATGCTGCACTTAAGCTGCCGGCTATAGCGTTACCTGTAGCAGAGCAGCCATGGACAGACAAATCAGCGTTACCACAGCGGCACGTCAATTGTCATCACCACAGGCACGTCTCCCGCTGGCTGCCTCACGCCCATCCTTGTCCCCCTGTTGTCCTGGGTCTGTAGTTACTTCCAGATAACAAATGCAAGGCAGGTACTCGGTCCCTCTTTTTCTGGCCACATTAACGACAAAACATAAACAGATGAATTACCTGCTGGAATGGTGATTATTCATTACCACACATTTACCGTCATATTTTATTCATTTCCCGCCGTTCTGGCTCAGTTTACTCAGTAGTATAATAGCCACACTTTTACAGTCTTGCCTCTTCTCTCGTTACCGCTTCCGATATTTTAAAAATATCTCCTTTGAGCTCCCAGATAAGTACCACAGCTGAAAATTACACCATGCATTTAAACTCCTCTCCCGGCCCTTTAACTCTGAGCATTTTTTAGTATTTTTCCCGAAAGTGAGGCGAGCGAGATCCTCCGGCAGGTAAAGTGTATCCATTCCACCGGCTACTTATTAAATTTGTCTCCAGATCTCACCGCCTGGTCCGGGTCGCTTGTATTCATCTCCTGTGCTCCTCTTATCTGCATGCGGAGCCATAAAAACAAACAGGAAGAGATTATTTCCTGCCAAACAGCGCAGTGCATATTTCCGAAGGGCTCTTATATAATTTATTTTATTATGCCCATTTGTTATGTTAGTATCGGGTGTAGAAGGTAGTGTGGGGGGGGGGGGGGGTCAGGGTTGACTATGAGGAATAAGTTTCGATAACGGTAATGAAGACCAATGGTTCAATCACACTGCTCTAATAAACCGTTTGAGTATGAATATACAATAAGGTTAGGGGCGGGGGTCGGGGGGCTTATGTGAATCTCTGGCAGCCTACACACTGAACAGTACACCACTAACAGGACCTACCATGACCCCCACCCCCCCACACACACATATCACGCCCTAACAGAAACGGAAAATACTGTGTCGTAGGTATATCAAGATACTTTCATACTCTGCATGAGTACAAGACATCAGAATAGGGAAAGACACCCACAGACTCTTTAAGCTGTGCTAATGAAGTCTCCCAATGGGGGCTCTTATTTTTCTCTGAAAATGAGGTTTGGCCTGCGTATGAGGCTGTGACAGTTCTGCAAAGGTAAAGGGGGGGGGGTGCTGGGGGTGTTTCCTGTGCCTTATGCCTTCGGGGAATACAGAGAGGCTCCCATAAGACTGATAGCGCTTCACTCGCGTGATGCGCAGTGTTTAATGACAAAGCCATGTGGTTTGGACCCGCACTGCATTACGGCTGAAGCAAAAACAAACGCATTCATTCTCATAGCCAAATAGACGTTCGACTTGAAGAAAGGGCAATTAAGTCCAGGCAATCAGCTGGTAATCACGCCGGAAGACAAGCACGTTCCACGCTCGCGTTACGAGTCTCTGATTTCTGTGTTCGTCCTCCAGCAGCACGCTCCCTGGAGGAATCGTACTATCTCCACGTAAAGATGTATCTATTTGTCATGCTGCTGCTCCTGTAACAAAACATTTGTTCTTGACGCTATTTATTATATTGTTGCTTGGCAACCATCACATAACATATGATCTAATAATATTTTTAGAAAGACGTCAGACTTCAGTTTTTGGTTCGGCTCATGCGTTTGCCGCCGTGTGGCTCCGTGCGGCTGGGATGCGCGGCCATGGGGGCGGGAATATCGATCTAAAAAAGTTCTCCTTTTGAAACCCTGGGGATGAGACAGGAGCGGAATGAGGTGATAAACAATCCCTGAAACAGAGGGGAAAATAATTAAACAATGAAATTGAAATGTCTTTCTAAGAAAAGAAGCCCAGCTCTGTCGTCCGAATTACTGCCAGAATGCACCTATTTTTAAAAACGGGGACAAGGCCCAAGAACTTGTGCGAGGCCCTTAATTCTCAATTGCTGAATTGTGCCTGATAAATAAGAAAATGTAATGTAAAATTATGGCTCTCACCAGTGCCCCCAGCATTTGTCGCCCCCTAGTGGCAGCCATTTGGGCATGCGCACGCTGTGTTATTACCCAGGGGGAAAAAGGAGCTGGGCAGTGAGTGACCAGCCTCTCTTGATTGGTCGCCAGGGTGGATCCGAAGCTCACGGCTCCCCGGCCAGGGGTGCAGGCCGGTCAGGGTGCCAGAAGACGGGCCGGGCGGGGCCGGCTCCATGGCCACCCCCCAGCTGCGCTCCTCTTCTGCTGCTCTTTGATATTGATTGGTTACAGACCTCTCGGCCAGCCCGGGCCCTAGCTTGGCGTGATAGGATGCTGAAATTACTTTCAGTCGCCAAGTATTAAAGTGAATGGGGGTGTTCAAAATGGAATTTCAGCTTGCCGCGACCTTCCACTCGCTGAAGTATATTGATGTCAGATGATGACACTTCCAGCTGTATTCGGGAGAAATCGCATTGGGGGAGTGATTACGGGGGGCTCTCCCACTGTCCGTCTCGCTCTGCAGGCCAGGAGCCACACACACACACACACACATGCACGCACGCGCACACATGTAGAGTAAACATATCCTTATGGGGACCGTTCATTCACACACACACACACACACACACACACACACACACACACGTTTGTATTCATATCTTGTGGGGACTCTCCATTCATTCCTGTTGGAAACCCCCCCCCCCCCAAACACACACAGGTTTCTAATTATGTCTTTGTGGGGACTTTTCATTCATCTCTATGCTGAAAACTCTAATCACAACATGATGACCTTTAACCCCTATCCAGCCCTAACCTTAACCATACAAGACTTTTTGCATTTTTACGTTTGTGATTGCGTTCACAGATCGTTGAGGGGACCCACAAAATGGTCCCCACAACATCAAAAAAATTAGTTTTTATTACATTGTGGGGGACATTTGGTCCTCACAAAGTAATATAAACCTAATCACAAACACACAGAAACACACACACACACACACACCCTAGATTGCACACACTGACACTCTGCCATGCACGGGACCCAGGAATAGAGGAGTGTGGTCCCACCAGCAGAGGACTGGGCTGACTTTCACCATGATGCCATTTTGTGATGTGACTCTCGGGCTGGTTTCTGGTTCGTCGAGGTTCCCGGCAGGATCTAGCAGTCAGACGAGACAGATTTACGACAAGCAGCCGTGGGTGTTTGAGCCATCCACCAGCCCTTCTGCTGGCTGGCCGCTGTTCTGGAGGGATCTCGCCGCTCTTCATCCTTTGCCACGACTTTTGGTTTCCGCTTGGGAACCATCATTCCATGCATCCGGTTCCCCCACCTTGGCCCGCACGCCTCTCACATGCAGGACGCGTGTGACGTAACCAGCGATCGAATGAAAAGGCTGGTCATGAAACATTAATCTGGGTAATTATTTAATCAACCATGCTTTGTGACAATTGAGTATTGGGGACATAAGCGGGGAAGGCTTATCGTGTTCAGCTAAGAGTTAAACTCCAGGCAGAATGCATCAGATCACATTCAGCAGCAATAATCACTTCCCTCAGGCTGATATCACAGGGAAATAAAGGAAAACGAGGTTAATCCAATGGTGTTGTCTCCATGCTCTTAGCCTGTTATTATTAGACCCCTTCTAAGAGCAGAGATCGCATTTTTAAGTAATCTAGCAGCCTAAAGAGCACAAAAAAAGCATGTGGTTAGTCCCAAAAAATAAATCAATATGAAAGTTCTCAGGGGATGTTTGCTTTCATCTAAATTTTATATGATTTTACGGTACAATTATGCACGGATTCAGGTAGCGCAGCAGCCACAGGAACCTGAATTTCAGTGGGCAGAAATGAATATCCCAGGTGGCATCCTGCGAGTAAATAAATCTGAGTAATTAGACACTTGTTTTCCTTCAGAAAATAAATGCGTGAGAGCAGTTTGGGGCTGGTAAGGATTATGTCCTCCACTGAGTAGCATAGGGATCAGCCAAGCAAAGAACGCACACAGGAAAAATATCTTCTTGGTTGGTGATGGGAGAAAATCCAAACGTAGGCGTGAGGCGGCAACGGGAAGAGATGGAAGCCAGCTGCTAAGTTGGCATCGGGACTTTGGTCTGGGTTAGTAGGGCCGAATCGAAACAGGACACATTAAATTACACCGACCACAGGAACGAGGGCCAAGTGAACCGAATTAACTGGTGCACTGCGGACAGCCGGCTCTCCCCATGCGATAAACAGCACCCCCTGCAGGAAACAAGCCAGCACTAAAACAATATGGTAGGGAAAGTATATGCATATTGCTCTGAAAAAAATATATAATGTCTTTGTCAAACTTGGCTGGTTAATACTACTCATACTGCTGTAACTCTGATGTGGATGTATTCCCTGGATTGCAGGAGAATGTTTTGAAAGCAGCATGAACAACGAATCCAGCTCTATATGCTGCTAAGTCCTCCACAGTGGCTGCTAGAAGGTTCCTGGAGCTGCGTGTTAATGCTCAGTGCCGTCTTGAGGGTGCAGCCGATTCTTCATTTGCTGCAGCCTTTGTTTCTGAAGCAGGGATCTGGGACCACGTGCGGATTCATAAATCAGGCCGGGCGGCGCTCGCTCCTGACACACACTGATCGATCGGCGTCCGTTTGCGGCTTGACGGCCTTGACGGTGTTTAATTCGCCGGTGGTTTTGACAGTCAGCTTGAAGGATCGTTGATGGCACATGGGAGTAGGGAAGGCTCAGATCCTTTGTGGAACGGAATGGCCTGAGCAGCGTGTTTGGGAAACCGGGAGAGCCCCGTTACGGTCCGGGAATCTGAGCCCGGCGACCGTCCAATGAACACCAAAACAAACAGGCGGAGAGGGAGTAAGCCCGGGAAGCGACGGACTGGCACCTACTCATGTGCTTCTGGGCATGGAATCGAGGGTTGAACAGGACTCTCGAGTGGGAAGGGGGCAGGCGGCTGGGTGAGAGCCAAGCGTGGGGGCAACCTTCAGCTTCATCTGGCTCGGTATTAGGAGAGGCGGAAGCCTCCGTCGCCGGCGTGCGTCAGCATCAGTACCGGGCACGGGGGGGGCACGGGGGCACGGGGGCAGCGTGCCACTCGCTGGTTCAAATCCCAGGGTTGGCAGAGTAAAGGTCCTTAACCCCCAATTGCTACAGGCACTGGCCGACCCTGCCTTCTAAAAAAAATATGTAGGTCGCATTGGATAAAAGCGTCTGTTAAATAAATAAATAACTCACCGATTCTTAGAGTGCCGGTGTGATGGAGATGGGGGGGGGAGAGACAGGCGAGTCACTAACCACATGTACTTGCATGCAAACCCCGTGTTGACGCATGTGGCAGTGCAGCCTACCTGTGACCAACTGCATCTGTCTACACTGCAGTGTCAGTAACAAGCCCCTCCCTGAGTTGCTTCAGAGCTGCCATTAGACCCTTAAAGTCAGGGTGGGGTGGTGATGCTAGTAAAAATGAAGACGGCCCCCCCCCCCCAGCCACCCACCCACCAGTCAATTAGGAATACGAGGAGGTGGACACTGTACTGTAATCAGCCAGAGTTGTCTGGTTGTTCCACCACGTCTGGCAATCGAGGGTCCTCATTTGCAAGACCTGGGGAGCGGAACCGGGTCTGAGGGCCTGGAATCACGTCGAACGGCAGAACCGTGACAAATGCGAGATGCAGAACAAGCGGAATCTTTGTTTATTCCTGTGTTTATTTACTCTTGTTGTGGAAATGGCTCCGGCTCGCGAATACGAAGCCTAATAAATGTCACCGGCGCGTTTACCGCCGGCCCCAGTGGCCGAGGAGCCAAATTGCATGGCGATCATTTCCAGGTAGCCTCTGATGAATGTGGATTGTTCCACGCTCCTTCTGACATGTTTTAAATTGAGTCGAAAAATGGGCCCGTTTGGAGACAATTTGCTCCATGGACGGGGTGCAGATTGCACTGGGCTCTCTCGGGCCCGCAGGGCTGACATCCATTTCACGGAACCGCTCCCCCCGGTTCCCATCATGGGGCCGTCTGCTAACTGGGTCAGCAATGGAAGGAATGGGAAACTTCGGGCTCTGATTCCCTGGGCTTGTTTCCCCTCCTCTTGATCTGATGCTGTTGTTTTCCTGCTGCTGTTGGTGTCTGAGAGTTGAAGGGACATCCAGAACAAACAAACCGATGTAACGTGTGATGTTTGCACAAACGAAGCATATCTATAGAGAGACAGGGAAAGAAACACGTTAGGGACAGAGAGATGGATGGAATCACTGATCCAGTAGATAAGAAATGTATGGATAGCTTTAGCTAAGAAATGGAGATGAGTTGAAGAATTTTGCTGACCCTGGAAATTGTACTTATTCCCTTGTCAAATGAACACTGGTTCCTCTTCTCTTTGGTTCAATGTGTGTGTAGCACTGTCACTTTAAGGTGAAATGATACAAGAGGAAGGCTCACCGTCTAAGGGCCTCTAGCCGTCACAAAAAACACGCCCCTCAGTGTCATGGACAAACAAAGAGCTGCTATGATGCTGCATTTGACCCAGTTGCGACCCCCTTTTATCGCTCCGCCATAAGCGTACACATATATTGGAGAAACATAGGTTAACTACCCCAAAGCCAATGTGGACATTCTACTCCTGAAGGTTCTCAGCCATTAAACACTGAAAACCTGTTTTTATGGATGAGAGCAGAGTGATTCCTAGGAACAGAACTATTCTGATCTTTCAGAATAGAGTGTGTTTGTGGATTCCTGAACAGTGATCTTTCCTTGTGGGAGTTTTACACAAAAATGTTCTGAGGGCAGAGTGAAAAATGACTGATTCAGAGAGATAACCAATGAGATTATAGAGAAGGTGGATCCAAGCAACTAGAGGAGGTGGGCCCAAGACATCTGATTGATTGGTCCCGCCTTCTCTAGTTATTTGGACCCACCCCATCCAAAATCTGATTGGTTAGCTCTCTGAACCAATCCTATTTAGTTCTGTCCACAGAACATGTTTGTGCAAGTACAACTCCCATGAGCGTGATCATTCAAAACAGAGCAAGTTGTGGATTCCTCGAGAGTGATCTTGCAGAACAGAGCTGACACTCAGAATGTTGCTGGTCTTTATATGTTTTCGCTGACACCCCAGAGCACGGTGTGGGGAACACGGGAACCTGGAGACATGCTGAGAGTGACATCACCGTGGACCAACCTGGAGGCAGAAAGGGGACATGGTGAATAATGCTGCCCTTTACAGTCCAGCATTCATCCCCTGTATATATCAGCTTGACCTGTGACCGGCTGATGCAGCTAGCAGGCAGTTCCTCAAAGAGCCGTCTCTACTGCTTTGCGGCGTGTTAAAAATGGCTTTTAGACATAAATGCTATTGGTGAGACCAAGCGGAGGTCATTACTGAATCACCAGGGTCACACGTAGTGTCCTCAGTGTGTCTGCACTGACAAACGTGAAACAGTTGTCCCTGGCTCTCTCCAAAGTCACTTCACGTAGCGATCTAGCCGATAGAGAATCCCCAGGGAGCAGCAAACGCATCCTGAGATCCGTACCTGCTGGAAGCTTCCCCTGTCCGTACACGTCTCTGTCCACTGGCCGTAAACAATCCGCGGATGCCTGCGTGTGGACCAATTATTTAGGGTTAAAGACAAATTACCAACATCCTCTTCAAAGCCGAGTAATTGTCTCAGGAAAGATTAATACCTAAAGACTTCCAGAACGAGGGCCTCAGAGAGGGTAATTAATCAAAACTGATTAGCTTTAAACTCAGGATTCCGGCATCGTGGCCACTCTTGACCGCCAGCACGCCTGTTCACACGCGCTATCTCGGCCCTACAAAGCGTCTTTTGTCGCGAAAGCGATTTTCTAAAGTCGCTCGAGCACAATCCCGTAATCCCGGGAGCCGGAGTGTCCGTGATTGTGCACTCATTAAGCGGAGATGTGTGCCAGTCCATAATCCAGCCGCGGTATCAGGAGGGCAGGCTGGCAATTTGGGCTCTGGTCGTATTGTCAGGCAGAACTTCAGCACTTGTTTTCTGCCGGAGGTCAGTGGCCTGTCACGTAGAGCGGAAACTCTTACTCATCCAAGGCCAGGGAGAACTGCTGAACACGGGATACTGTATGAGAATCTCAAGCGGGAAGAAGGGGGGGGGGTTCCTTCTTACTTTTTTATTTTTCATGGAACTATATTGGAAATTCATTCGAAGTTATGTGTAGGGGGAGGGAAGTCGAGAACTTGTGAAGTGCTGATTTGTTACATGCTGGGGTTTGTGGTCAGGCCAGATCTACTGACAGATCTACTGACAGATCTACTGAGGCATGCAGCCGTTTCATCTTCTTCCTGCCGCCTATTGTTTAGGCTTCTGAGCAGGAGCTGAAAGGACCTGAGACCCTCAGCTGAACCCTGCGTAGGCAAGACTTCTGTGTTTTATCCAAAACGAATTTTCATTGCAGCGGTCAAGGGGCACATTTTTGGGAATTCCCCTGTGGCTCCTACTCCCATTCAATGACACTCAAATCACGCATTTGTGTTGGGCCCCCAGGGTTTGGGGGCCCCCTGTTGGCCACAAATGGTCACTACACTGGGCAAGCAGATGTGGGTGGTCCCAAAGTGCCAAACCTGTACCTATACACATCAGTCCAAAACAAAGACTTACAAACCTCTCACAGAGGTAAAGTATCGAGTCAGATAAATCGGTGACACGCCCACACACAGTGATGACTTTCAGCGCGAGCAGTGCCGCTATGTCCACATGGCCTTATTAAATACCTTTAATAGACCTGTAAAGTAAATAAACCCACCTATTGATCTCAGAGATTTAATATCATTACTGATGCAAGAAACTAAAGGGCAGAAACAGAAAATTGTGTGAAACAGTAGTTAGTGTAACTTACTGCAGGTGATGAATGGGATCAGGGCATCTCCTGTGCTGAATATAGGATTAGGCAGAGAGTAGCTTGGTAATGTTATTAAAGGCATTGATCTGTCTTTGCTGAAGAGTGATAATGGCTGTTTTACCAGGCCGGATCTGCGCCGGTGGCCCCATACCTGCGGTGCTTATCGGCCAACACGCTGGTGGAGAGAGTGGGTCGCCCGGCGATCCGGTCTGGCTCCAGGAAATGAGTCCCCACCAAGTGTCACACGCGGGCTGATCCTCGTCTTTCCGTGATTAATTCCTAATGCAGAAAAGAGGAATTCGGTCCCTGTTTGGCTCAGCTGAGCTGCAGAAAACGCACGGAGCCAAGTGAGCAGGGCTGGGGGAGATGAGAGGGGGGAGAGGAGAGGCGGGCCGCTTTTTCTGCTGACTGCGTACCCGAAAGCGGCTGCGTCCCGCGGGGCCGTCAGAGCGAGTCGGGGAACCCGTGGGAGGCCGATGTGCCGAGTAAGCTGTGCACAGCGAGCCTGACGGCGCCCCCCCTCGGCCTCTCCAGCACCGTAGCCACTTTTTCCGGGTCTCCGCGGACGCTCATGACAATAGGGCGGGGTTAAGAGACGCGGCTGCGAAAAAAACTAAACTCAGCTGGAGTCCGGTAAAATACCTGCAATAATGGAGAGCGCTGGGGTGTTTTCTCTCAGAGAGAGTGTCCTCGAAGGTGCAGGATTTACTATAAATGTCCAAACAGCAGTTAGTACTGCTGTTATCATGGCCCCTGTTCCAGCTCACGTTACACAACATCTGTGTCTCACAGCCTCTTCCTGCAGGGTTGCCTCACCATGCAGGAGGATTTCAAACGACAAAAAAAATCACTCGCGTCTCCTGCTGTTTTTTTTTCTCAGCGCATCATCAGCTAAATTGGATCAATAAGCAATTAACACTTAACTCTGATACGTATACTGCCCCCCCCCCGTCTAAGTACACCTTATTTAGCTTACACTCCAGGAGCTACATAGTTAGCTAAGCACTTTCAATCCC